TTATTCTATTGTGGTTTATGCGCTGTCGGCGAAGTAGATTGAATTAAATCCAATAATTTTTAACGAAATGCAAGAAAAAATGCGTATAATTTAATATTCCGTACAAGGAAGTCATGTGGTGTACACATCAGATTTTTTACAATGAATATCAGAGACACTAGCCATATTAATGAATCGACGATGATGATGTAAATTTTTGTAATATTCGTTTTTTTATTTATAATTTAGTTTTTACGCATTTTTGTAGTGTTATGAATTGTTTAAGTTTTATTTATTTATTTTCTTTCGACATTTTATGGAACATGTTTTCTGTATTTTTTTAACCGACTTTGTAAGTCTTTACTGCATTTGCATGCATCTGTTTCTTACGCTTTTTTGCAAAAAAAAGGAATGTTCTATACATCCCGTTCTGCTGAACCGATTAATAAAATTCAACTTGCGTTTTTCATGTCTCGAAAGCGCGACTTAAAATATGTATTAGATTTATATATAGCATTATTCTAACATAGGTATTTTGACATAAAATCGCACTTTTTCTGAAATGGCCTGCCAATATTTTTCCCTATATCGATTCTACGACTCAAATTAGGCCAAACTGCCAAGTTTTGTTAAAATCGCACCAGTAGTATTTAAAACATTAGCTTTCAAAATTTTAGCTCCTCAATGTTAATTGAATTGGATATATATTTATTAATATTTCTTTTGTTATTAAACTTACTTGATTCCTTCTTCCAGAATTCGAAATTTAGGCTTAATGCAAATATAATTCGCGTATTTTTATGACTTATTTTTAAATATTTTTTATAAACTTTTCGAAAACATTTCTGTTTTATAAATCTATAAAATTTTTAACATCCTCTTCAAGTAGCTGTATTTCTAGGCACACCCCCAAAAAATGAAAGTTTTTTATTCAAACTTTTCTAACATATACATAAAATTACATATTGACGCGTTTGGAAATTTGGCATCTTTTTTGAGAGATAATAACGCCAAATGTGTGTACGCACTTTGTTAAAATTATTTGAAAGTATGTAAGAAGACTTTTTTCCCGCTTGTCTGCAATGCCAAACAGGAAAGGAAAATTAGATTGCTATAAATTAAGAATTTCGTGAAGCAAATTATTCTTGGCGCAAATTGAAAAAATTACGCCAAGATAAATTTTTGAATTTCTCCGTAAATTTCGCATCAAATTTAACAAAATTTAATATTTAGGCATAATTGAGTCGTAGAATAGAAATATGGAAAACAATTGGCATGTCATTTAAGAAAAAGTACGATTTTGTGTCAAAATACGTATGTTAGAATAATGCTGTATCTAAATCTAATATATATCCTAAGTCGCGTTTTCGAGACATGAAAAACGCAATTCGAATTTCGTCAATCAGCCCAGTAGAATGGGAGATATAAAACTGTTCCATTTTTTTCGCAGTGTACATGCTTTAATTCTGAATCAACTGAATTTTGAATTTTAACGATAATCCAAGTAGGTCATAAGATATAAGCAGAACACTTCTTTCAGGATCCTTAAGACAATTTCTGCCCGTGTATTAAATTCTAACTATCGATTTCATGCTAACTTGGCGATATGCTTTGTTCTGAAAAATGCGTTTCAAAGTCAGAGTTATCATTTTTGTAATTGTTTAGCAATATAATATTTCACAAATATTTTAAGCAAGATAAACATTCCTAAAAATTGCTTTAAGAAAATTTCATGTTTATGAAACTTTTATGATCTAATAAAAAATGTTTATGTTTATGAAACTTTCAATGATTTTCAAGGTTAATTTCTAGACAGCATTTAGTGTTTCTCAATTTCTAGACAACATTTAGTGTTTGTACTTCTAACGTAAAACTACTATAATGGCTTTAAAGTGATTACGTTTCATAAAGCCATCACTTTCACATACATTGTCTAAATAAAAACAGCAACAGTTCTTAAACACAATCTTGAGAGGAATTCAGATAAATTTGCCAGTTATTTATTTTAGAAAATACTTTGGAGTAAAACTTTTGTTTCGCCTTTTCGAATTTGTATATTAAGTGCAAACTAAAAGTAACGTAATAGTTCAAAGAAAATCTGTACACATTATTATAATTTAATAATAACAGATGACGGCCTTCTCTTAATGAATTTCGTATTGTAGGCAAAGGAAGGAATCTCCTGAATTATTAATCCTCGCTTAGACTCATCGAAATACAGACCTGCTGAAACACATCGCTTCCCAGTAATTTCCATTCCTTGAAATAATATAAGCCATTGGTTAGCAACATCTGCTACGTACTTTAATATCAAGTGTTTCATGGCAGCGTTATCTATTCGAATCTTGAATCGGATATGAATCTCCTCTTCTCACCTTACAGTCTTCTGGCAATGCGAGTGGCACCTCAAAATGTGTAGTCGTTAAATGATAATGTAGATATAAGTTCAAATACAGGAGATTAAAACTCCATGCCATTGCCTATATCTGTACACATACAGGATGAAGTTAGGTCATCTGTTCTGATTTTGTGCTTTGATTTTGCTTCTGCTTCTAAATATCCTACAAATTTTGAATCATTACGTTACGTTACCATGAATTTATCTTTTATGCACCTTAACAAGCTTTGCTGCTTTTATGTAAAATATAATACCTTTAATTAATCCTTTAAGTTATAATTACGTTAAGTGACTGAACGAACAAACTGAGTGATTTCAAGCCAATAAATTAATTTCTTCAAAATTTAAATCATTATCATTTATAATAATATATCTAATTTATATAATTCAAAGCACATTTAATTTGTAATTTTCCCACAGTAATAAGAATATCATTATTTATAGTGATAATTTTAAACACATTTTTAGCATTATTTAACTTTATGAGAGGTGTTTCTTACGCCATTTATTATGTTTTTACCAAAGGCTTTAAAAACATTTTAGACGATTCTGCTTCATTTATGCTGCCATGTATGAATAATCCACATAGCTTAAGAATACACGAAGCAAATGATCTTAAATTCAGTTTTCGAGCTGCTGGGCAGATAGTCTTTTCCAGAGTGCTATTGTTCGACTTGTCATGAGATCCTTAATTTGTGTTTCAGATTACAACTGCTGCTTAATAAACTGTGCAATTAAAGCCAATAAAGGAACTTATTTTTACTTTATTAATTATAGATACCAAATCTTTGCCTTATTTTTTGAGAATTAGCCTACCTTATAAATAAAATACATTTAATAATATATTCAATTTATAATTTTTGTGATATTGGGCAGATTTTTAGTCATTAAAAATTTTATAACGTCATATATTATGCAATTCGTAGAAATCGTGTCGACAATTTATTTATCTTTAATCACTTTTTCTCTCTCCTAAGTGTAGTTCGATATAAGAGATATTTTCTAAAGTGAGCAACTAATCATTCTGCATCACTTACGATTGTCATGTTTACATACTTGTCTGATGTTTATATCCCAGTAACACTAAGATATCGAATGAAAACAATTTGCTAATTCTAATCAGTACATGCTTCACTAGCAATTATTGTTCATTTTTATTTCGATTGTACTAGCTGTTGCCTAAGGTATAATCAAAGGTACCTTTTAAATTGTGTGTCACTTCAACAGCTCTAAAAGCACCCTAGCAAAGACAAAGTCATACTAGAGGTGTTTTGCAACATTAAGAGTTTTTTCATCTTGGATTTCCGTTTTGGATAAATAAATCGTAGTTGCTATACACAACAATTGTTTCACTGGGAGGTCTTTGCTGATTTGGGAACTTCTGGTCAAAATAACAATTTTTATGATTCCATACACATTATATTACCTTGACCTCGCATAAAGGCAGCTGAAATGAAGCAAAAAAATGGGTTACAGAAGTGCTAAGCAAGACTGCAGAAACACTTGCAGAAAGGTGGGGGGTTATTCATAAGTAGTCTAAGAACTTATAGCATGTAAACTGCACAAGCGATATCAAATCTTATTACACTGAAATAGATATTGATTCGTTGTTTCTCGTATTTCACAAGGGCTCAATATGACCACCTTTACCGGTACAAAACAAATTAGTGTGTGATGGGAACCGGGATACATTGAAAATCTGTTTTATGCCAATTTCAAATTAAAACAGTGATGAAAATTTCTTTCAATAAGATAGTTGTCCATTGAAGAAATTCGTTCGAGATAGCGTCATAGTCAAATTTTGGCGTACAGATAGAGAACTCTTACAAAATAATTTCAATTGAAATTTAGCACTTATATGGATAATAAATAGTGCAAGGTTTTGTCTCGTTAATGCATTGTCCACACCAAGTCTTTGAATTTAATCCTATGAGACTGTTTATTATGAAAATTTGCCAAGAAGCTTCATGCTTTAAGCCCTCGCTTTTCTTAAGTTATACGGAACCATATCACTGATTTTGAGGCTCTTGTCGATAGTGGTATATTAGCATGCATGTAGGTGAAATGATTTATAACATAAATCAACAATTTGAATATACTGAGCTTTTCCGAAATATGTGAAAAAAAGGTTTCGTGAGCACGTTATTATATGCTGGCTTGGTTTCTCTGTAAGGTCCCTCCCTTGAAATTCTAAGTTAACGTTGGAAGTGAGGAACCTAGGAACTGATAAGCGAATAATCGCTAGAGTTCGAACACAGGAAACAACAAGAGAGAAGGGTAAATAACCCTTTATTATTTCTATAAGATTTAACAAAACTCCGCCTGGGAGTGAACAAATAAAGTCCGCACTTTGGACTTGAACTTAAAAGACTAAGAATTAAACTAAAACTAAGATTGACTAACTAAGTATAGCCAAAGCTAGCAAGGTACAATGAGAGTTGGCCCCTTAGCCTATTTTACTACGAAGCTTAGCAAGGGCCTAAGTACGGCCGAGCGTATAACAGCTTTGAGAGTGAGAGCGGCCAAAAAGGCAGACGCGCGTAATTCAGAAACTCTGTTTCTCTCTCTGTCTCGGTAAGTAACTTCGTGGTTTAAATACCGCTCCTTCTCATTAAATATTCAGCAAATTCCAAAACTACGTTCTGGCCGGAAGTAGTAAGTTGAAGTTAAGAGTTTGACAGGAAAGGAACTTTAACTTAAAATTTAACTGTTAATAAAATTAACATAATCCTTACATCTCTTAGATAATTTGTAATACTATAAAATATTATAGTTCATATAGACACTGACATTTAAAAAAGGGAAAACTCTATTAAAAGCTCAAGAGTCATGATAACGACATATTGTTATGCCCAAAGTAATTCTGTTCATCCAAATTATTTTAAGTAACTTAGTCGATTATAAAACATATAATATCTTAAGATTTGTAAATTATTTATTTAGGGTTCTTCAAAATGAATAGAACAATTTTGTATATTTAATTTAAAAAATTAGTATTTATAATAAAGGAGATATTAAAGTACGTATGAATGGGTGCGTTTGTTGTCGTAACTTTGCAAATCTTCAATTAGGTCTCATACGTAGCGTCTTTGATATAACCTCACACAAAAATTCTAGGGTATAATGTCGTGTAAGTCTGATGCCTTTAGTTACTGACTATTTCCTATTAAGTCGTCACTTGGCATATTTCCTTCTAGACAGATATGTCAAGAACTCTACTTTTAAGACATCCTCCAAATGCACAATGTTTTGTGTAAAATCAATATTAGTCTGAGGTGGATTCTGCTGATTTTAAATTTGATACAGAGGTGTACAGCTTCTCTACATAATATAACTTGTTTAAGCCGTCTGTGTAATATATTATTTCGTTTATGATAGTACCAGTGTTTTTCTTGTTATTATTTTGTTAAATCTGCTTAAACTCCAAACGATTTTTACGATCATCTAAATATGTGATACCATGACATGATAGTAAATTCCTTATTTCTTCTATTTTCATCGTAATCTAGACCGTATTCATAAGTATTATAAGTCTAATAAGAATGACATTTTAAAGATCTAAATTTAGTTTCTGATGAAGTGTTACATACTGTTGGTCTTATTTAATGCTGAGCGGTTTTTTTGTTCTATTAGTTGTTTTATGGGAAATGTTACTAATCACATAAGTGTAGAAATAGGGTTAACAATACAAATTAAAAGAAGTTTTGAAAAGTATTTTCATCTAAATCCATCGAAAATGTCAGCAGAAAAAAAAACCTTTACAATGTAGAAAATTATAACAATTTATTTCATAAATGAAATACCTGGTATGGAATATGTACAAACATGGGAAAACTCACTGTACAAACATGATAAAAGAAAAACTAGTCTTACCTCTGTATGTGACAGGAGTCAAAACAACAAATATTTTCAAACTGAATAAAAGTTATACGTGAGGAATTAAAATCTTGTTTTCTTTTTTAGATTTGGTTTAAAATTTAATATTATACTGTCCAGGCAAAATATTAAAGACAATTTTAATCTTTGTTATTTCTCCCTTACAGTTCACCTCATTTAATATGCCCTTTTCATTCAATTCAAAAAAAAAATAGTTACTGAGGGTTGACTGCAAATCCTAATATTATTCTGAGATTAATTCAAGAAGGTAAGGAAATAAGTTATACATATTTCAAAAATTTAATTCCCGAAACTTCCATCAACTGTCGCTTGCGATGTAAATGTGTCAAAATTGCATGAATATTTATGTTTACGCAAGTCTGAGCAAATGCTTGCAAAAATTTCATATTGATAGTAGCCGGTGATATCAGTTATTTGGGTGAAAAGAAATCTGCGAAGTATTTTAGCATAAATTTGGGTAACGAAACCTTAGACCACCATATTCACATCAGAGTTTTGTCAGAAAAGCACAACTGAAATATCAGAAGTGCTGAAAATGAAAAAAGGGGAGAATGTCATGAAAATGTCCAGTGATTGTGTGACACTGGCATTTTACTTATCAGGATGAAATAATGTGAAGTTTGAATCCAAAGCTGGAATCTAGAAATAACAATTATGGACATTAATAGCAACATTGTATGTAAAGCCTTAATATCCAACCAAGTACAAGAATGATAATTGCAGAATTACAAATTCATCAATGAAACGGTTAATCTAATATCAGTTGGAGAATGAAATATAAGAAAGATTTCGGCGAAGTTTGCGCTTTCAACACGTAGTCACAATGCATTTGCTGTCAGATTCTCCATCAGACCAAAATAGAGATTATAATTTATATCATCCGGTCAACTGAATAAGAGCTTTGTTATTTCTGGCTGTCTCCAAAATTAAAAGTTAAGAAAGGAAATTTTCTGATGTAACTGATGTAGACGACTTTAGACTTCCAAAATGTAATGCCATTAAAGAAACGCCCAATAGGTTTGAAATTTGCATCACGTCTAGGGTTAGATAAGATAAGCAAATAATTAGCATTACGATTCCTGTGAACAAGTGAAGTCACCTATAAGCACTATAGAAAGGGAGAACAGTAGTTGCTTTGGATGCTAGAAGTCTGTATTTTCCTCTAAAAATCGTGGCTTTTAGCGACTGCATATTTTTCATGAGAGAAATCGATGCTTATGTTGGGCGAAATTAAAGCTACAGTGATGCAAATATGAAAGCGGCAGAGAGCCTCATCACGCCGAATGAATGCGCAGTTATGTTCTATGTACGTTAATAACAAATTGCAGCCCAACATCCAGCATCCTAGCACAAGTCTGTTGCATAACATCTTTCATAAGCAAATATCATTCGATGATGTCTTCAGAGAAGGGAGATCTTTGCAGAGCATCCGTTGCTGCGAATACCGTCGACTCTATAAGGCAGATGTATGTGGCTGCAATGTCGAACGCCTGTTGACGAAGGATACAAAATTAGTTGAACGCCGGATGACAAACGAATAACACAGAAATGTGTGTTGTAACCAATCTTGGTCTATTATACTCAGGCCGATAAACATTATGATACTTCTACTATGTATCGCCATAGTCATTTTTCAGCTGGCGTATGGTTAAACATTGGAGTTTATTTCCTCATCCATCTAATGTGCACTACCAACACACTCAAGAACCAACTCTACATCTTAAAGGATTTGTTTTTTCTCCAGGTTTGTCGTCAATCGAAAACCCCCGGTTAGTGATTAGAAGAAGAGCTACCGAGCATATACTTGACGTGGCTACATCAAATAAGATTTGGCAACGTGCAGAAACAGTATAAACTGACTTACTTCAAACAAATATCCAAAGCAAATATTCTCTTCTTGGATGCCAAAAGAGATTAAACAGTTATTGCTAGCCATGATGGCAACACAAAACGCTGATTTTTTTAACAGTACTGTGATTGAATCGTTGCAATTTGTAATACAATTGATCCCTTACTGCTTGAACAAATGCCTATGAAACAGGGAGATTTGGGACCTAGTTCTTTAACGTGAAAGTATACTTTAAGTTATTTTATTTTAAATCTTTACTATCACTTCTTATTTTCTACTTCCGGCCAGAATTATAAGCGTTAAGGTTTTTATGCAAAGTTTGTCTGGCGAACGCCAAGTATTTAAGTTGTGGCTTTTTGCCAAGCGAGAGAGAGGAAGCAGTGAGTCGAAGCAGGCCGCTTACCTTAGAAGTTACGCAGTTGCTGTTTGCCTTCCAGGCCAGAGGTTTTAATCCTCTTGATAAATTTTAAACGTATTGTAGTGTTCACAGTTCTCTGTACTACATACGCTTCCTGTTAATATAAGGCCAATCTTCCACGTTTATTATTCTAAAGTTAAATTAGAGTTTAGTTTCTATTTTTATACTTTTACGTTAGACCCCAAGTAGCGGGTCAGTGTATTCCGAAGTACGGAAGTTATTGTATATAGAGAAAAATAAAGGGTTTTGTATACCCTTCGTCTGTATCCTGTCTACTTACCACAATTAGTGAACATAGCTTTAGTAAGCTCTCTGTTCCGAGTCAGGTACTTGTATGTTCCCGAAGAAGGTGAAGAAGGAACATTGAACCTGATAGTGGCGCCCAACGAAGAAGAATAACCATGGCCGAGTTTCAAGAAGAACCTGTGCTGCCTGCAGAAACGGCTCAGAATCCAGAAATGCCAGCTGCCGCCCTGGAAGGATTTGGTTACATCGTCCAGACCATGCGCGCTTCGATGAAACCAGAAGCAACATTTAATGGAAACTCACCGGTAACCAGTTTTTTGGAAAAATTGGATGACCACTTCATGCTCTACCCCGTGCACGAGTTTCAAAAAGTTACCTTAGCTACCAGCGCTTTGAGGGGCCAAGCGCTTAACTGGTTCAAATGTATAGGCAGAAGTCTCTTGGGTCAAGCAGGAAGTCCCACCTATACTTACGAAAATTTCAAGACTGCCCTACTAAAAGCCTTCCCTGTTGTAAGGGATCGTGCGAAATTAGAAACGGAACTTTTCAGTATATATCAACAAAGAATCGAAAACCTCTCGAGCTTTTATTTTAAGAAAAATTCACGTTTTCAAAGCTCTTGTATGGAAACCGTCCGGATCCTGAAATAATTCAAGTGATTTTGCCGAGGTTTACTGCCCCAAGTGCAAGACTTTATTGAATTAAGAAATCCGACTACACTGGAAAAGTTATTTGAGCTAGCAATCCAGTTTGAAAGTAGAAGAACGGCGGACGTCGAAAGAAGACGCCAATATCAACAGCGAAACCAATTTGGTACGCCAAGACTACAGCAAACTCAAGCACACGGCTACGGAGAAAAAGCGAATCAGTGGGCAAGGAAACCCGAGCATTCAAAAACAGCCGGCGAACGTCGACAGTTCAATAGCAACCCAGGAAAAAAGTCTCAAGGCCAGTGGAAAAAGAAGGAAAGCACGGAAAGGAAAAATAATTTAAACTAAAACGGATTTCTTTCTGCTGACGAGAGGGTGCGGAAATCCGAAGGCCACGAAAACCCCTCTTCCTACAAGTTAAATACAGTAATGGTGAAAAATTTGACTCTTCCGAAGATTGAAGTCTTGGTGAATAATATCCCAGCCACCGCACTCCTGGATACCGGCGCGCAGTGTTCCTGTGTGGCAGAAGATTTTTTTAGGAAGTATTTTCGCAAATACCGCATATATAATTGCGGATAATACGACAGTGTTA